AGCTCACTGCAACCTCCACCTCCTAGGTTCAAGCAATTCTCATGCCTCAACCTCCCCAGTAGCTGAGACTAAAGGTACCCGCCACCATGCCCAGCTAATTTTTTTTTTTTTTTTGTAGGTTTAGTAGAGACAGGGTTTCACCATGTTGGCCAGGCTGGTCTCGAACTCCTGACCTCAAGTGATCTGTCCACTGTGGCCTCTCAAAGTGCTGGGATTACAGGTGTGAGCCACCGTGCCCAGCCTTAAGAACTAACATAAATTAATAAGGAAAAATACAACAATCCACATGCAAAATGGGTGAAAACTGAATGTTTACAAAAGGGAAAAAGCAATGAATAAACAGGAAAATATGCTGAATCTTTCTTGTTTTGAGGAAATGAAGTTTAAACAATAATTATCATTTCATATTCAGCAGATGGGTGAAAAATTATAAGACCACCTAGTGTTGGGAGGATAGGGAGGAATGGGGACTCATACACTACTAGTTGGAATGTAAATTGCATCTTTATAGAGAAATTGGTCGCTATCTATCAGCCTTGAAGAGGCAGGTATGTTGGGAGACCTCTTAGGTTTATATGTGAGAGACTCTCAAATAAGGAGGCTGATACAAGGAGACTGTTTACTGCAACAATGTTTATAATAGAAAATTGTAGCCGGGCGCCTGTGATCCCAGCACTTTAGGAATATGAGGCCGGTGGATCACCAGCCCGACCACTAAAAATAAAAAATTACTAAAAATGCTACTAAAAATACAAAATTAGCTGGGGGCATGCCTGTAATCCCAGCTACTCAGGAGGCAAGGCTGGAGAATCGCTTGAACCCGGGAGGCGGAGGCTACAGTGAGCTGAGATTTTAACACTGCACTCCAGCCAGGGTGACAAGAGCAAAACTCTGCCTCAAAAAAAAAAAAAAAAAAAAAAGATAAAAGAAAATGTTGGAAACAACCTAAGTGTCCTTCAGTAAGGAAGGGTAACTATAGCTTATTCCTACAAAAGAATGCTATTCAACAGTTCAAATGCATGAATTACAGCTACGTGGATCCAAAGGATCAGTGCTGGACCGTATTTCCCATAAGAAAAAACTGTAAACTGATGTAAGAGTTATACCATTTGTGTTAGTTTTACGCTCCTAAAATAACACTATAGGCCAGGTGCAATGGCTTACACCTGTAATCCCAGCAGTTTGGGAGGCCGAGGCGTGTGGATTGCTTGAGGCCAGGAGTTTAAGACCAGCCTGGGCAACGTGGCAAAACCCCTTCTCTACTAAAAATACAAAAATTAGCCGGGTGTGGTGGTGGGTGCCTGTGGTTCCAGCTACTCCAGAGGCTGAGGTGGAAGGATCCCTTGAACCCAGGAGTTAGAGGCTGCAGTGAGTCCAGACCGCACCGCTGCACTCCAGCCTGGGCGAAGGAGTGAGACTGTCTCCAAAAGAAGAAAAAAAAGCCAGTTCTGCTCACTTTTGCCCTCTCTGCTGCCTAGCTTGCAAACATGATGGCTGAGGAGGATCCAGGCCGTCCTAAATTACAAGGTGACCTTGATGACAGGTCACACTCTGAGGATGGAGAGGCAGAAACAGCATCGTAAGGACTCCAGCGTGGCTTTTAGGTGAAGCCGCCATACTGGCTCCTGAAAGGGCCCCTATGTCGGGGCTGTTCTGTGAGAATAAACTCTAGTATGCAAGCCACTCTCATGAGGTTTCTGTTACTCCTAGGGGATTGCAACTCCTAACTGACACAGCTTCCGCATTGTGGAGTCTGACCTAAGCAGATCTGTACTGTGATTTTAGTGATTCAATTTTACCTTTGGTCCCATTATTTTGAATGTCGGTTGGGGTATGTTTATGCACAAGACTGCAGATTGCAGACTCCACTACCACCCGTGAAGTAATAGAGCATGCATTTGAAATTTTATCTATAGTTTTTTTTTAATTTTTAAATTTTTTTTGTAGAGATAGGATCTTGCTGTGTTGGCCAGGCTGGTCTTGAATTCCTGGCCTCAAGTGATCTTTCTGCCTCAGTCTCCCGAAGTACTGGGATTACAGGTGTGAGCCACCACACCCAACCTATCTGTAGTTTTAAAAAAATATTAAGTAAAGGGTTGACAACACCAAGTACAATCCCTTCTGTAGATAAAGTATACCCAAATGTTAATATCGTATCTCCTTAAAATACATTCAAAACACATACATTTATTTTGTAGCTACTCTTATATGGCGGGAAAGTTTATTATTTTTTGTAGCTGGCACCAGAATACTTTTGAGAGGAAAAAAAAAGAACCTGTTTCTATTGGGAAATCTATCCGTGTGCTTGGGGTGGAAGCTGCTTGCCTAGAGCCTGAGCATTGGCCGCCCCCAGGTTTGAAGAACTTGAACACTCCCGTGCATTGGAGAGGAGAGAATTTCGTAACTCCAGGGCTCCTTTTTGTGGGAGGTGGAAGTGTTGGGTGGGATTTGCTGTGTGATAAAGGCTTCCCTGGGAACCTACTTGTTCACAGCTCACAAAATGTGAATGTGAGTCTGCGTGCATGAGCACGCCAACTCTGATGGCAGGAACTTACGGCCAAATAGTGGCGGTAGGAGCAGTGGCAGAAACAGGAGGCCTACCTGCAGCCAGTGATTTGATGACATTTTGGGGTTCCTCCTGACATCCTCAGAGAGAAATGACTCTAGGACATAGCTGGAAGTTCATGATCACTGTGGCTGCCAAGCCCATGGATCCAGGTGCTGGAGAGGGGGAAAGTATTACAGACCAATTTCATTTTTAAATATGAGAGTCAAAATTCTGAATAAAATATTCATAAAGATGATTTCAAAGTACATTTAAATAGTAATATAGAGCAACTAAGTGAGATTCACCTCAGGAACACAAAAACTCAAAAAAAATTTTTAATGCAAAAATGTTAAGAAATCTATGAATATAACTCATATTCATTTGTTAAGAAGGAAAAATACGATTATCTCCATAGATGCCAAAAACTGGAACCACTTTCTCCAGCTTTCCTCCCAACCTGGGGAGAGCCAACAAAATGGCAAGTGGAACGCCACGATTTCTGTTCTTGCGCAAAATTCATCCTTGGATTCCTATATCTCTGTGTGGCCCACCCCTTTCTTGTTGGGTATATTAGGGTGATTCTTAAGGAATTCCCCACTGCCACTCACCTCCGTTCCATTTATTTATTTATTTATTTATTTATTTATTTATTTATTTATTTATTTCTCTAGTATGCAAGCCACTCCCTATGGAGGTTTCTGGTTACTCCTAGGGATTGGGTAACTCCTAACTGACACAGCTTCCGCATTGTGAGCCCATAATTCCAAGTGATCTGTACTGTGATTTTAGTGATTCAATTTACCTTTTGGTCCCATTATTTAATGTCTACAGTATGTTTATGCACAAGATTTGAGATTGCAGACTCCACTACCACCTGAAGTAAATAGATGTGAATGCCTGAAATTTTATCTATAGTTTTTTTAATGGAAATTTTTTTTGTAGAGAGTAGGATCTGCTGTAGCTGGTTGTGGTTAACTTTGAATTCCTGGCCTCAAGTGATCTTTCTGCCTCAGTCTGTAAGTGGTCGATTGTAGGTGTGAGCCATCACACCAATCTGATTCAGAAGCGAAATACACACAGTGTTGACAACACCAGTGATAATCCCTTCTGTAGATAAAATATATCAAGTGTTAATATCGTATCTCCTTAAAATACATTGGAAAACATATATATTTATTTGTAAAGCAATACATTATAAGGCGAAAGCCTTGTATTTTTTGTCAAAACTAGGAAATGTTTTAGAGAAAAAAGAACCTGTTTTGCTTGGGAAATCTATCGTGTGCTTGGGGTAGTTGCTTGCCCAGGAGCCTGAGCATTGGCTGCCCCAGCTTGATAAGAACTGAACACCCTGCATTAGAGAGATAATTTGCAAACCCAGGTCTTTTTGTGTGAGTGCATGTCAAAGGATTTGCTGTGTGGATAAAGGCTTCTGGAACCCATTGTTCACAGCCTGTCAGGCGGTGAATGGAGGCCCAGGAACACACTGTCCTCTGACAGAGAACTTACGGCCAAATAGTGCTGTAGGAGCAGTGGAGAAACAGGAGGCTCACCTGCAGCCGTGACTTGATGACATTTGCCCCTTCCTGACATCCCCAGAGAGAACACTGCATGGTGGCTGGAAGTTCATGATCACTGTGGCTGCCAAGCCCATGGATCCAGGTGCTGGAGAGGGGAGCATGCAGAATTGTCCCCATTTTTAAATATGAGAGTCAAATTCAATAAAATATTCATAAAGATGATTTCAAAGTACATTTAAATAGTAATGAGGGATCAACCAAGTGAGATTCCACCTTCAGGAACACAAAAACTCAAAAATTTAATGCAAAAATAAATAATAAATCTATGAAAATATAACTCATATTCATTTATAAGAAGGGAAATATCAATAACTCATAGATGCCAAAAACTGGAACCACTTTCCAGCTTTTCCTCCCAATCCAAAGAGAGCCAAATAAATGGCAAGTGGAACGGCCACTGCATTTCCTGTCTTTACATGTAAAATTCATCCTTGGATCTTTGGTATCTTCAAAATGACTCTCTTTGTTAGTATTAAAAGTGATTCTATGAATTTCACCGCCACTCACCTCCTGCCTTCCATTAGATGATTTATTTGATGATGATGGGTTTGGCTTATTGCTGGGATGAGTTTATTTATTTATTTATTTATTTATTTATTTATTTATTTATTTATTTTGAGACAAGGTCTTGCTCTGTTGCCCAGGCTGGAGTACAGTGGCGTGATCCCGACTCACTGCAACCTCCGCCTCCCGGGTTCAAATGATGCTCCTGCCTCAGCCTCCTGAGTAGCTGGGACTACAGCCGCGTGCCACCACACCCAGCTAATTTTTGTGTGTTTTTAGTAGGGATGGTGTTTCACCATGTTGGTCAGGCTGGTCTCGAACTCCTGACCTCAAGTGATCTGCCTGCCTTAGCCTCCCAAAGTGCTGGGATTATAGGCATGAGCCACCTCGCCCTGCCTTTTTATTAAATATTTTTAAAGGGGCCGTGTGAATCTTCTCTGTATCATTCCAATTTTAGTATACGTGCTGCTGAGGTGAGCACGACATCTGTTCCCCTTATACTGCTGCTGGGAGTGGGAATGGGATGAGTCAGGAGCACCTAGAACCTGCTTGGTCAAGAGGATAGTGGGACTCTCCCACATCACTCTCACTCTTGATGGGAATTTTTAAAGATTATGATACAAGTAAGACCAATCCCTCCAGGCCCTATCCACAAGTACCTTTTGTAATTGCCACTGCATTATTTTGCTGCTTTTAAACCACCTCTCTATTTTGTTGTGAATTTTGGGGAGGTATCTCGTTGGAGTCTCTCTCCATTTTACCACCGAGGTCTAGAATATGCACTAATTTAAAAAGAGAAATTGGCAACTTTCGTGGGAGGGGGAGGGATCCTTGATAGTCACATATGGATTGATTAAGACCCTATTCTGCTTTTCCCATAGAATGGGAACCTCTGGAGCCTGTGGTTCTACTATGAGCCTGGCTATCAGGCAATCACAAAGCTCCCGTTTGAGGTAAGAAGACACCACGCCAGGCACAGTGGCTCACACCTGTAGTCCCAGAGCTTTGGGAGGCCGAAGTGGGAGGATCACTTGAGGCCAGGAGTTTGAGACTTGCCTGGGCAACAAAGCAAGACACTATCTCTATTTAAAAAATTAGCCAGGCAGGCCGGGCACAGTGGCTCACTCCTGTAATCCCAGCACTTTGGGAGGCTGGGTTGGGCGGATCACCTGAGGTCGGGAGTTCAAGACCAGCCTGATCAACATGGAGAAACCCCATCTCTACTAAAAATACAAAGTTAGCCAGGCGTGGTGGCGCATGCTTGTAATGGGAGAGGCTGAGACAGGAGAATCGCTCGAATGCAGGAGGCGGAGGTCACAGTGAGCCGAGATCTCACCATTGCACTCCAGCCTGGGCAGCAAGAGTGAAACTCTATCTCAAATAAATAAATAAATAAATAAATAAGCTAAGCATTGTGGCATGCACCTGTGGTCCCAGCTACTCGGGAGGCTGAGTCAGGAGGATCACTTGAGGCCAGAAGTTCAAGGTCACAGTGAGCTATGATTGCACCACTGTACTCCAATCTGGGCAACAGAGTGAGACCCTCTCTCTTTAAAAGAAAGAACAATTCAGAAATCAGACACTTTATAGGGAAGGCAGGACAGGAACTGAAGACAGCCTTCTTATCTGTCTTTGGAACTTGCCACAAAATGTTGCAGTAATGACAGCCCCCGAGGCAGAGAAGCAAAAGAGATTTAAGAAGGAATTTCTGGAGCCACACATTCAGAACATTAAATGGATTTCGAATTGTCACCAACTGGTTCTGGTGGCAGGATGCCCAAACACATTCAGATGGGAACCGGCAGTAATGAGTATTGTCAGGAGTCATCTGTTAGATTTCTAAACGCACAGAACAGGACGGAGGAAGGACCTCTGTACAGGAGTGAAATCAGAGAGACTTGTGCCTGAAGCCTGTGCTACTCAATCAGAAACTCTAGGAAACATGTATTTTTACAAAGCTCTACGACAATTCTGTTACCCAGTGCTGTGGTTTAATGTGTCTGGCAAATGCCAGGTGTTGGAGCTGAATCCCCAATGTGGCAGTCTTGAGGGGCAGGGCCTTTAAGAGGCGACTGGGTCATGAGGGCTCTGCTCTCATGAATGGATTAGCCCATGAACCCATTCACGGGTTCATGGGCTAATGGATTAATGGTTATTGTGGGAGTGGCACTGGTGGCTTTATAAGAGGAAGAGAGCCTTAAGCTAGCACACGCAGCCCCTTCCACCGGGCGACACCCTCACAACTCCACAGTCCCCACCCGCAAGAAGGCTCCTACCAGGTGCTGACCCTTGACCTTGGACTTCTCAGCCTCCACTGTAAGAAGTAAACTCCTTTCCTTTAGAAATTTCCCAGTTGCAGGTATTCTGTTATAAGCAACAGAAAATGGACTAAGATACCCTGACAGGGCTGAGAACTGCTTCAGTAGAGGCTCTTCTTTTCCTCACCCACTGTGACCAGGAACTCAGGCCTGCGCAGTGCTGCAGCATACTACAGTTTCACATAATACGGGCCAGGTGCAGTGGCTCACACCTGTAATCCCAGCACTTTGGGAGGCCGAGGTGGGTGGATCACCTGAGGTCAGGAGTTCAACACCAGCCTGACCAACATGGAGAAACCCCATCTCTACTAAAAATACAAAAATTAGCTGGACTTGGTGGTGGGCGCCTGTAATTCCACCTACTTGGGAAGCTGAGGCAGGAGAATCGCTTGAACCCGGGAGGCGGAGGTTGCAGTGAGCCGAGATGGCGTCATTGCACTCTAGCCTGGGCGACAGAGTGAGACCCCATCTCAAAAACAAAGAAACAAAAAACATAATCATCGGCCACGCACAGTGGCTCACGCCAGTAATCCCAACACTTTGGGAGGCTGAAGCAGGTCGATCCTTTGAGGCCAGGAGTTCAAGACCAGTCGGGGTAAGAAACACACCACTGCACTCTGGCCTGTGTGACGGAGTGAGACTCTGTCTCTTAAAAACAAAAATAAAAACCAAAAATTGACATAATACTGATATTTATGACTGATAACAAATACTGAGACACATAAGAATTTTAGGAATCTCATACAATTTTGGAGCACATATTGATAATACATTTATATAAATATAACTCAAAGAAGGTTAAATACCATTTCTCATTTAACAGTGCTTCCCATATAGTTATTTACGTAGTACATACGCCTAACACATCTCTCTTGGACTCCCAGGGGTCCTTTCTGGAACCTCTAAAAGTTAGTTCGAGGTTAAAAGGACAATTTTAGAATTTAAAATTTGACTTTGGGATGTTTATCCGATATGAAAAGTTTAAAACACTTGATCAAAATAGGAGTACAGGTCACTGCAAAGTAATACTCATTTAGTTAAAGTGATAATTCAGATTTCAAAAAGCAAAAACCTTTCCTCTTTGATAGAGAGACACTCAGTTTTTCAAACGATCAAAAGACCTAATAAAGATAGCATAAGACCAACAGAATCTGTCTCTCCTTCTCCCCTTTTTTACAGTTGATCTCAAAGGTAAACAAAACCTTTTGCTTTTATTAATACTACACGAAAATCTCATTCAAAAGAGAAAACCAACTTCTAGTTTTGCATTAGTGTTTTGTTTTGTTTTGGTTTTGAGACAGAGTTTTGCTCTGTTGCCCAGGCTGGAGAGTACCGGCACGATCTCAACTCACTGCAACCTTCACTTCCCGGGTTCAAGCGATCCTCCTGCCTCAGCCTCTCAAGCAGCTGGGATTACAGAGGTGCACCACCATGCCCAGCAAGTGTTTGCATTTTTAGTAGATACGGGGTTTTTCCATGTTGCCCAGGCTGGTCTCGAACTCTTGGACTCAAGTGATCTCCCCGCCTTGGCCTCCCAAAGTGCTGGAATTACAGACGTGAGCTAGCATGTTATGCTGCATTAGTGTATTATTAATAGTTAGACCAATTTCAACAAAACCTTATAAATAGATGCATCCAATTTCAATCAACTTTGACCACACAAAGTAAGATTTCTGTTTACCTTTTATAACCTCTTCCAAGTTTTCTCATTCTTTCCCCCCAACTTTCTATATCTATTCATCTAAACTAGACAAAATTACTTTTCCTGTAGCAAAAACCACATTCTCATGCCTTTCCTATCGCCCTTCTCACCAAAAACACATACTTTTCTTATACACTCTGTATACAGAAGTGTTTCTCTCAGTTCTAGTTTTAGTTCTATATTAACAATAATTTTAACTCTTAGTAGCCCTATTTTTCAGTGAAAAACCTAGGGAGTAAGTCATTTTAATTGCTATGTATCAGGGGCAGAGCCCAGGACAGAGGCCAGAGCTGTAAAGACAATACCTAGAGGACCCAACCCTTCCCGGAATGGCCAGGAAATCCTGCTGGGCCAGGGAAGATGGGCCTAGGCACTGCAGACACACGTGGGTCCCCAGGCCTCACCATGGCCACTGTGGAGACTCCAGAATCAAATGGCTCCAAACCTAAGTCATAAAGTCACAGACAAATCAAGCAAGTTTCAAAAATATCTCCTAGCACTTTGGGAGGCTGAGGCGGGAGGATCTCTTGAGCCCAGGAGTTCAAGATCATCCCGGACAACATAAGGAGACGCCATCCCTTCAAAAAGTAAAAAAAAAATTTAGGCAGGTATGGAGGCTTGCACCTGTAGTCCTAGCTACTCGGGAGGCTGAAGTGAGAGGATAACTTGAGCCTGGAAGGCCAAGGCTGTAGTGTTCCAGCCTGGGCAACAGAGCAGGACCATGTTTCAAAAACAACAACAGCAACAAGAAAAATTACAGAAGCTGTTAACAGGTTTACAACCTTAAAACATCATGGAGACAGTATAAACCCGTCTAAACTCAGGTAGAATGTCTAAATTAAATTCAGACGATGTTTTTATTTTATTGTATCAACAATATTAAAACTGGCTTTATTTATCAAAGGTTATTAAAGTTGCATGAATTTGAAAATAATTTGGGCTCATTTACTTAATTTATAAATGCTAATTTATTTATAAGTCAATTTGGCACCATGTAGACAATATACAAGCAAATATATGTATATAAAAATACATGCAGATAGCTGGGCACAGTGGCTCATGCCTGTAATCCCAGCACTTTGGGAGGCCAAGGCTGGTGGATCACCTGAGGTCAGGAGTTCAAGACCACCCTGATCAACATGGAGAAACCCCATCTCTACTAAAAATACAAAATTAGTTGGGTGTGGTGGCAGGTGCCTGTAATCCCAACTACTCAGGAGGCTGAGGCAGGAGAATCGCTTGAACGTGGCAGGCAGAGCTTGCAGTGAGCCGAGATAGTGCCACTGCACTCCAGCCTGGGTGACAGAGTGAGACTCCGTCTCAAACAAAAAAAAAAAAGAAAAGAAAAGAAAAGAAAAAACATGCAGAAGTAAATAAAGGCCTTACAGCTTTGATTTCAAAATTATAGCCATGAGACTGGTAAAACTCACTAGTTTAAAAGGACAGGTGGATTAAACTGTG